GTTTAGCATTCAAATACATCGCAAATATGGACACATTTAATTGGATTAATGCCGAATGAGAGAGGTAGGCTGCGCCACAACGCTGTTTGCTTTTAGTTTCGCATTGAATTAGCCTCAGTGGCGGCTCCAGGATTTTTTTGTTCGGGGTGCTAAGGGGGGGCTTAACAGTTCAGAGGGGGTGCTAAAAACAATTAAATTGAGTTAAAATAATGAACGCCTATAAGCTTCAGCATACAAATTCAGCCACCTTGTGTTTTTTTATGCAGCAGCTTCGAAAAAGGCATATTTTAGATTTTTTTTTGTATGGTATAAACTTCTCATATGCCACTGTTACCAGTGTTGCCTGATTGGGCGGGTTCCGGCGGACGAGCGCAGACAAGCAAAATTAAGTTTAACTAAAAATAACAAAATTTGTTTTTATTAAATCATAGTATTATAATGAATATGTGAAATATTTGACTTAAATAGCCTAATTAACAGATTAACAAAACGAAAGGAAAAGACAGAGATATGCTGCTGAGGTTGGTTCATAGGCTATTTGTGTGGCGCAGCGCTCTATGAAAGTCTGTATGTATAAATTTCTCATATGCCACTGTTATTAGTGATATAACTTTAATGCCAACTGCCAAATATGACACTTACAAATTAATACAATTTATGAACGCACATAGAAAAGAGAGAAAGTAGGATTTTGTTTATTTTATTTTTATAAATTTTTTTACACGTATCTATTTAGTCATTTTTTCTGACCATCGAGTGTCAGTCACTCTCAATGCCAACTGATATCAATGCCCGTGATAACCTCCCCGTGCTGAGATGCGTCGTATGTGTCGACGATAGCCAGAGATATTGTCAAAACAAAGCATCAAAAATTGGCAATATTAAGAGGATTTAGCATTTCCAAGTAATGTAGGCCTGTTACATTCTTCTTATTATTAGGCCTATTATTATTATTAGGTTACTTTTATTATTAAATGACATGAAATTATTGCGCCGCTTTATGCACCAAGAGCTTGTAACACTCCAAAGAGAAAGGAAAAATTGAAATCGCATCATATGACCCCTTTAACACTGCAGTCATCAATAAAAATCAATGAAATAAAAAGTTTTATTTCAAGCACAGACTTTCAAAAACAACCCGTTTAACACGTAATACGTTTCTTCACATTTTTTTCCACTGGGCCACAAGAGAAATATTAAGGGAATAATTTAATACAGTTATACCATCATCAGCCTATATTGAAGTAATTTTGTCTCTTGTTGTCTCAGAGAATATGTGCCGTTAATGCAGCGTTAGAAAGCTCCGTCAGTTTTTTTTACTTTCACTTTCTCTATAAGTGAAAGTAAGAAAGAAAACTTATATGGTGATCACTGAATATGAAATAAATAGTCCAAAACATTCTGACGGAGATCTTAAGCATTACATAGTCTTTCTAAACCACTAGAGGTCAGCATTATTTAGTTTTTCCTTCAACTCAAAACAATTTGTGCACAAGTGTTATGCAGTTGACTGAGTTGCATCAAGTGTCATCAGAGAATCTGAATCACTGAGTCCAGTGGATATAACCAGTGGAATAAATTAATATCTATCTATCTATCTATCAATCTACAAATGATTGAAAAGTATTTGCATTGAGAAAATTATTATGGTAAAAATATTGTTTACTTGTTTACTTTAGATGATTACTTTTGCAAATGTTTTATGGAGAATGTATTTAAAATTGTACTGTCAATCATTTCACATGATGGTCATCTCAGTTCAAACTAAAGTTCAGTATGAAGTGTACAGCAGCAGGGTCTGAATCTCTTCTGTTCTCCCACAGCTCTCTGACCCGAGTCTGGCCTGGGCCGATGCTCCATTAGGACTCTCTTTCATCCTTCTTATTCTCTCAGGTGTCATGAAGATGGATCAAATGAAAACACACTGTCAATGCAATAACCCCAGCCCCCTGTGGTCATGGTAGGGCCCAGATTGCCAGTAAAGAGGTGGATGCTTCATGGCTCAGCTATTTGCTGGGTAAAGGGAAAGGATTGCAGTCTTACCTCAGAGCCTTTAAACATTACGCTGCTTTAATCGAGGTGAAGGCTGTGCTGTTCACAAAGGTCAGGATCACACAGAGGACAAAGTGAAGCAACAATAAAAAATAACCACAAACCACAATTGTTATAAATGCAACTAAACACGTTTGCTTTCCATCACTTGTTATACAACCTGCATAGAGAGAGAAAACGAGAGATTCCAACCTCAACCACATTGAAATGTCAAGTGAAATCTGCTCAATAGAGTACTTGCCAGAACAAACACATGGCCAGGATACAGGAGAAATGACTTCACATTTGGAAGATATACTGCTTGCCTGATTGCAAACAATGTGAAATATAGCAGGGACTTATTTATCAGTGTTCATTTATATGAAACCAAGCATGCATTGTTAAAAATCTATATTTCTGACAACAGTTTTTTTCCAAACTAAATCACAAATGAGTATTGCTATCTTTAAAGTGTAAGTTATGTTCACACTGATAGCATTTATTTGATATATAATATAATGTAATATAATATAACATAAT